AGGTTGGTACTACAATTTTTATGCATTTAAAGTAAAAAATTTATCACAAAAGTATAAATTTTCAACTTTGATTTAGAATTAAAAAATTATTTCAATTTATACCTTTTTCATATTTTGATGTTTTTTCGTTTATAGCGTCTCCTAACTACCCTGAGAAGTGTGGCTGCAATGATCCGCAATTTTGAGCGCTAAATTATTTTTTTGAAGTAATAACAATTTTCAAATGTGATAAAATGTTTATTTTTACTTTGTAAGCATTTTATTGTGAACTAAGGTGACTGATGAAGGTGATTTAAGACAAATGGTAGAAGGTTTCGAAAAATCTTTTCGAAAATTTAGATTGTTAGTTTAAATAGTATACTGATACTCGATTCAAAGTAAAATACTGATAATCGTCAAAGTAAAATAATGAAGTCAAAGAAGACTAAATAATTTTATTAAGAAAAAGATTAAAGCTAACTCAATAAAACAAAGTTTGTTGCAATATGATCAAAATTTTTTGAATTTTTTATTTTCTTATAAAATTGTATAAAATTGCCTTAAAAGAAATAATTTTTATTTTTTTACATTTTTGAAATAAGTTCACAAAAAAAAATAATATTTTGATATTGTTTGTTTTGTGGCTACCAGAAACCGCTAGAAATTTTCAGAAAAATTCTAAAATAGCTTTAAAATGAGAGCAATCGTTCAAGCAAAATAGTTATGAAGCGATTTTAAATAAATATTCCTTATTCCAGGGTTTCATGATGAGCTAAACTCAATAAAAATGTATAAGGCTCAATTCAAAAGAAAATACAATAAAAGTGACGTCGACGGTAAACTTTACCGTCGTTATTTAGAATCGCAATTGATTATGAAGCATGAGTAATTGATTATAAAGATAAATATTGGCATATAAAAATAAAATGTTTGAAAGTTGGAGATAAAATAAAATTGCATAGAAAATCTTTTTTAAATTTAAAATTAATCTAATTTATTCAAATTGAAGTTTGTGCTGAATTTTATTAGATTTACAGTTTAGATTTATGAAGTTTTCCAATCTTTTGACCTTAAAATAAAAACTATAATGTTTTAATAAAAAAGCGTTTTATAACTATTTTTCTTACACCATTGCCCTCATTTTAAAATTATTTTAGAAATTTAAAAAAAAATTTCAGCGCTTACTGATAGGTGGTCCGCTTATTGTTTGTATATGGATTCATGTGAGCAAACAATTGAAATAACAAAACTCTTTTTTTCTTAAACAAAAGATTTTAGAGGTGACAGTAAAGTTATATATAACAAGTTTATTACGTTCTCTTTAAGGGTTATTATAAAAAAATTATTTAACTTTCTTTTATCAGATTCCGAAAATACTAAAATGGGTGACTATGAATCCTTTATATAGCAGTCGTAGCGCAGTGGTTAGCACGCTTTCTTCATCTGTTGCTTAACATGTAAGTTTTATAACATCGATAAAGAAGGAGGCGTGATATGGGCCCGACGTTATGTATATCTTTACTGATATGGGCCCGACGTCATTTTTTTGATATCGGCCCAACGTTGTTTTACTAATATCGGCCCGACGACATTGGGCCTACATCATTCTGATGAGCAAAAACAACGTCGGCCCAACGAAGTTAAACTACCCTGACCGCTGTAAAAGCCAATGTTGTGCCGACTGCTCTTTTACGGTGCTCTTTAATGCGACAGTAAAAAAGGTATTTCAAATGAATAAATTAAATTTCAAATGAATAAATTAAATTTCAAATGAATAAATTAAATTTCAAACGAATAAATTAAATTTAAAAAAATCCAATACAAACGTTCCTAGATATATAAAAGCTATAAGCCTCTTTTTGAAAATGTTTGTAAAAATTTCTTAAAAAATTATTACTCTAATCTTAGTACTAAATATAAAAATAACTAAAAACAATTATGAAGAATATATAAAAATGACTCAACATATTTTAAATAAAACTAATTATGATAATAATTATGAAGAATATATACGAAAAAAAAATAGAAAAACAAAAAACCTGCTTAAGTATACTAAAAAAAGGTAATAAAATAAACAACGTGAAACAAAATGAAATAATAAATACTTTACTAATATCAAAGATAATTTTGATATTAGGATCCCTTCTTTTAATATTTCCATAATTCAATTTTTTCAAATCAGCCAGTATTTCATTTTTTTAACATGAATTATTTCTAGATTTATCAAAAAAAGTTGAAAAAGTCTTTAAATCTCAAAAAAGAAAGAAAACTGTGTAAACGAAACTGAAGAAACAATTATAGATTGCTACGAAAACTTAAACGGTATTATTTTTAAAGTTTTCAATTTTGGAGTTATTCACAAACGCTCAAATGATTAAAATAATAAAGCTTTGGATCTAATGAGCTTGGTGTTTGCTGACGATACCAATTTGAATTTAGCAGACAAAGACATAATCAAACTTTTTATGAGTTTGAATAAAGATCTTGTATAAATTTCTACCTGGTTCAGTTGCATTAAAATAAACTTATTGATTCCTTAACAAAAAAAAATGTATTTTGCTTAAAGAGTTATCTAACTTTTATCGGTAAAGTAGAATTTAAAAAAGATTCCTTTATAAAGTTCGTCATTATTTATTTTGATGAAAATCTGTCATGGAAAACTCATGTTAATTATATATCAACAAAAGTTACAAAAAATATATGAATTCTTAACAAGGCTTAAAACTATTAGATAAAAATAATTTAAAATAACCGAGGAAAGACCGGAGCTAATTACCTCTGTTTTAACTCTTAGAACTCTGTAGTCACAACGACAAAATATTTTTTGTAAATAATAAATCACGGTTTTTAAAAGTATGAATTTAAGTAACACTTTAAACTTGCATTTATTAAAAAAAAAATTTCATAGGGAATTTTGGGTACCACTAAAAAAAAAAAATTTTGTTAACTTTCTTCACCCCAGAGTATGTTGGCGCAAACTATAAAATTGATTATTAATGTCTCATTAAGTACAAAATTTATAGAAATTTTTTTACTATTTATTTTGGCAACAGTTCTATGACAAAAAATAAATATTACATATGTTGGTACCAAAAAACAAGTTAAAACATTAACAGTTTTTATCTGTTAAAAAAAAAATTAGAGAAGTATATGAAAGAAGCGAAGTAAGATCTTATCGTCAGAACCTTATACTACACTAGTGTAGATAAAATATTAGATTATAAAATAACTATAAATATAACTGCAGTATAATAAAATAATATAAAAAATAATATATACATACACATATAACTTTTTAGTGAAGTTAGTAAAGTTTAATAAATGTTTTCATAATATAAATATTGCTGTTAAATTTTGATAATATGATATAGTAAAAGATTTTTCAGCTTAGCTTTAAAAAGATGCAAAAAAGTAGATTAAAATCAAAATTAGGTAAAACATCTTTATTCAAAAAACGGGGTGCACGGTAACCAATGCAAAATGGGTAAAACTTGTTCGACAAAAAGGCTCATATGGAAGGTTGGTATTTCTTTGAGAATATTTCATGGCAGGTTTCAAGGTAATTAAATCATTAAAAACGGCAGGAAAAAGATTATTTTTGCATGTTTATACAAAACTTAAAATATTAAAAAAATTAAGTTTGAAGTATTAAGAACTTTCATTTCAGAATTCGACAAATGCAGGAGAATTTAAGAAAACAGTTAAATTGACAGAAATAACTATTAAATGTAAAAATGTAAAATGTAAAAAGTTACTCGAAAACTTGATTAGTTTGAATTTGAAAAATAAAAAGTCATAAGTTTAAGCGTTCATGATTTGGTTTTTTACCTGGTTTCTGCTGTTGTAATTAATAAGCGCGAAAGGGCTAAAAACAAGAGATTATGTGTTCTAAAAGGTTAAAGGTCCTATCCTAAAAAAACACGTGGATAAGATGGACCATAGTCTCTTTTACACATTTCCACCAAAAAATGTTTTATAATGTCTTTTTTCATTTTTGTCATATGTCTAATTTTAAAAATTCGCGTTAATACTTAAATCGCAATAGCTTATCAAAGTTTCAGTTAAATAAATAATATTAAAAACATATTTAGTTTCTTCTAATAAGTAAATAAGCGTTTCAAAGTTGTGACTAAGCTTATTATATTTACGGGAAGGATTTCAATTTGTTCGCCGTTATTGGAATTAAAAAGAGATCCTTTTCACTAGAATAATAGTAAAAGCAATCATTATTTAAATCATGAATATAATTCTCATGATTAAATTATTATTTCATTTGCGTCTTTTCTATATTTATATCTATTAAAGTTTTCATTTTATCAAAATAAAAAGCTTGGTGTTTAAAATCGCTAACTTGAGTCGTTCCTGTGGGAGTTATAGGATCTCTTTCTATTTCCGCGATTGTTATTTTATTTATGCATACCTTTAACAAAAATTTTTATCAAATTTGATTACTTACCCACTTTATGATGCCTTTTAATTTCTTCCCACATTGTTTTACGATTTCCCAGGGTTTCTTTCGTTTAACGTTTATTGATAAAAAGTACAGTGCTTTTAAGTTTATTTCAAGTTAAAATTTTGTATTTATCATTACAGTTTAGGAGTTTGAGGACTATAGCTGTGGTAGATTGTCTTAATTTCTTCCTTTTCAATGGACTCGCTCAATCACTATATCATCGCCAATTCCAAGTTGGTTTTTAAAGATATTTTTAACTGCTATTGCACAGTCATCCCACGTTTATCACATTCCATTGAATATAATTGTATAAACTATTGTACTTAATACGTTCTAGTATTTTTGAAAATGTGTAGAGGAAAGAGATAGGACGATTATTAATGATGTTTGTTTGATCACCTTCTTTCAAAATTAGAACAACTTTAGCAATTTTTAGTTGTTCAGGAAAAATTCCTTGGTGTATAAATGCTCCATAGACTTTAAATAGGATATCTTTAAAGTATTTATAATATATATTTGACTATATTAACGTTTATGTCATCAGCTTCGGTTAATTTGTGTTTTTAAGAGCTTTCAAACTCTTGCAAAGATAGATCAGAAGATAGTTCAGAAGATAGTTCAGAAGATAGTTCAGAAGATAGTTCAGAAGATAGTTCAGAAGATAGTTCAGAAGATAGTTCAGAAGATAGTTCAGAAGATAGTTCAGAAGATAGTTCAGAAGATAGTTCAGAAGATTGTTTAGAAGATAGTTCAGAAGATTGTTCAGAAGATAGTACAATTATCCATTTGTAATTAAAAATCTCTAAATGTTGCATTTGTATATGAAATTTGTTTTTGCTAGTTTTGGACCGATTTCAACAAACAGTTTATTAAATTCATGAGCTAAATATGGTTCGCATTTATGTTTGTTATCAACTATATTCGTTTGGGGGAGGGAACCTGAGCATCTTTTTTGTCTACCACTAATTTCATTCATTATTTGGATAGTGGCATGTGCTTTTTGAGTTATTTTTAATTTTATCAAATAGGTCAAAAAACATCTTTCAAAATAACTTTCAACCAACTAGATTGACTTGGAAAGTACCGGTAAAAGATTGACTTGGAAAGTACCGGTAAAAGTCTTTAAATCAATCAGAAACATGAAGTCAAAAATCACTACACCAAAAAATTTAAAAGTATTTGCAGTTAAGTGCAAAACTTAAATATTTTAATCATAGTATATTGGTGTTAGCAAAAAAACACTACATAAATCTTTTTTTAATATAAACTCATTTTTTTCAATTTTGTTGTAAAGGCAGGTTTGGCGCTTAACCATCCATATTATCCGCTGAGATCAGTATGCATTTTTAATGCAAGAGTTTTCTCTACACTCTTATTAATGGGAAAGGTTTTATCCAAAGTTTCATCAACTTTTTCTATCTCTAAAACATTAGATATATTGTTTTTTAAAATAGAGGCTTTTTTTTTTCTCCAGCAGCATTTGCACTTTTTGCAGAAGCTAAAAATAGAGTTTCATGATAATCAGTGGCTAGTTCTTTTATTTTTTCTCTTTTGCTTCGCTCTTCAAGAACACTCAATTTTTTATGGGGCCTTCCAGAACCAGAAGTTTTCTTTGCGAGTTACTTCAGTATTTTTTATTTCATTAGGTAAATCTTTCCATAATTTTAATTTATCAACTCGTAATTCACGTATATTTAGGATAAATTTCATTGCTATCGTTTTTAAGATCCATTAATATAATAAAACTAATATATCAGAAACATTTTAAATTACATCACATATTTTTTTAAACGTTTTAAATTTTATTTTGTTATGACTTTTAACAATTTTCACATTGATACATCCTTTAATAACACTATATTACCTGGTGGGAAATGAGCTAGCGACTAACAAGCGACTAGCTGGCTTTTTTGCGATTTTCAAGCGATTTTTTTTTCTTAATTTATTCTTTACTAATGTCTCTATCATCTTTAAAAATTCGATTTTAAGTGTTGAGTCTATTATAATTATTAGAATAATTGAATTTTAAACATTGCGATTTTGTAGCAATGTGTCGCTAGCTATATATCGTAGCTTTTTAGCTAGTTACAAAATATCTACAAATCTATAACTGGTTGATAGCTACATACCAAAATTTTTTTGATAGCGATTTCATAACGATATGACGGTAGCTACAATAGCCTGTGAGTCTTTAGCTTATTAAGCTAGCTGTCCTCGTAGCCAAATTGCTGTCTTTATCTTTACAAATATCGATAGCTTTTCGCTAACTTAAAAAAGCTAGCGATCCTCGTGGCCAAATCGCTGTCTTTATCGTAACGATTATAGCTAGCTATTCGCTAGCCAATTTCCCAACGGGTACTTCGTTAATTGTGTTTTACAGGAAATTCTAAAGTTGTTCAATTAAGCTTTTTGAAACATGTTGTACTTATCGAATAATTAATGGTTCTTTAAAATTGTTAATAAATATTTTAATAAACTTCTAAATAATATATAATGACAAAAGCACGTTTTTTAAAACTATATTTAATATTTATGATTAAAAAACTATATTAGAAAAAATTCTACAAGCAAAATACTTAAAATTAAGTTTCACGCCAATTTCATTTGTTTGATATAATAAACTTCTTAGCAAAATGTCAGGAAACAAGGTTTTTATGAGATCATCAATATTTGTTTTTCTTTAATAACTTCCAATATCGCAGGAGACCGCAGTAATCCTTTTATATTCCTAAAGTAGCAATGTTAATTAATTGGGAAATATATATATATATATTTATGGAACTCGGTGGAATATTTTTTTAGCTGATATATAAACAAACAAAAGATGCAATTATTTTCGTCGTTTTCTTAAAAGTCTTTAAATTTAAAAGTTTTCTTAAAAATTTCTTTAAAAAAAAATACAATTATTTTCTTTTTTTTCTTTAAAGTCTTTAAATTTAAAAGAAAAAAACGAAAAACTTTTATTTTCTTTTTATTAAATTTGAAATATCTATATATTTTTGAAAAACTTTGGCATATAAAATTCGCCGAATGGTCACACACGAGCAGTGAACACCCGAGGGAAGAAATGAAGTACATTAGAATAAAGAAGAATTATTTATCGAACGAAGCATATTTTGACAGTTGTCAAGACAAAAATAAAGATTAATAGAGGAAAATTTCAAAACAAGTAAGACAGAAAACACATCCAAGCAGTACTCACAATAACAATAACAAAAAATTGTATCATATAAAAAAGTAGTACGTACGAAGATATACAACAAATATAACCAAATTAAAAATTTTTTTAAAGCAAAAAATTAATAAACAAAAAACTTAAAAATAAAAAAAAAAAAAAAAAATTTTAAAAAACAAACAAAAAATATGGATAGCAATGTAAGGCCTTAGAATGGAAAAAGAACATTAATGCTAATGTGTAAACATAATTATGTAGTGATAAAGTAATAAACATCTCCTCAGAGTCGCGTCTATATTTATATATTTCAAATATCTATATATTTCAAATATAATAATATCTATATATTTCAAATATAATAAAAAGAAAAAAAAGTTTTTCGTTTTTTTCAATCAAAAAATTATTTTAAAAATAAATATACACTTTTATTTAAATTTCAAATTCTCTAATTTAGTTGAATAAAAACCTCATATTTTTCAGGTTTCTCTAAAAAAATTTCAAATTTTTTCACTTCTTTTAGAAAATACAAAATAAAAGTTTTATAAAAAAATTATTTTTACTTTTGAAATTAAAAATCATTGTCATTTAATATTATCTAACAAAGGGCACTTAATTTATAAAAAAGTGGTGAGGAGCTTATTGCCATTTTGTTGTTGTTTTAAGTCACTGTGCGACGGGAAGAAGCGGGCATATATATATATTTTTTTCTGTCTCACTTCACCCCAATGTAAACATTTTTTTAAGGTACATTTCAAAATTTAGGCTTTTAGCGCACGCGAGGAAACAAATCAATTTTTGATATATAGAGGGGATTAAATATAATTTTTTACATTAAATAACAGTATTTAGGCACCATTCCTAATTAGAAATTTCAGGCTGTTCCACTTCTCTCCACTCTCCCCTATTATATGAATTGATTTGTTTGTCAGCTAAAGCAGAATGAACTTTGTCAATTTTTCGATTAATTTATTGACGATTGAGAAGTCTCTTGACAAACGAACGCGTAAAAAATTTAGTTTTCATATATACCAATAGTGTTTTGATTGGATACAAACAGTTTTGATACCTATAGTGTTTTGATAAATACAAACGACAAAAACGGTTACATTTTAGAGGAAGTAGTAGTTCTCAGCGAGTTTGAATGTGAAAAAATTTTAAATAAGCAAATTTAATACAAAAATAAATTTAATTGTTAAGTTTTTGTGACATTGCTATTCGTTTAAAAATTATGAAAATAATATGAAATTTTTATAAATAAATTAATTACAAAAAAATCGAGTAAAAAATTGCTTTTTAATTTAAGGTCACCTGCGTTTGATTAAAAAAACATTTTTTTCTATGTTTAACAATATTTAATTAATTTTATTTAGCATTTTTCTGATAAATTTGTATGCGCATCATATGCATATTATGCGCATAATTATGCGCATAACTTTGAATAGAATGCGCATATATTTGCAGATATGCGCATAAGTTCCGAACCCAAGTTTAATTAAAGACTTTTATAAATTATTGATATACACTTTCTCAAAACTTTGTGTTAATGTTCTTCAGTGCACAGTGAGCCAGAATTCACCTTTTTATATATACTTTATTTCACCTCTCCAAAGCCATGAAAGACACTGTAGTCGATGAATTTACTTTAGTTGTGGTTTTCAACCCTTTTTCAACTTCCTAACCACAACCCTTTTTCAACCCTTTTTCAACTTCCTAACTCCCAAACACAAACCTTGACGAACTTGTTCGTCAAGATTCATGTTTCGGAGTTTTGCTAGACAAAACTAACTACTCGTTATATAATTAAATGATTTGATGATTATTTTTGCATTGATTACTAATTTGAGGATTGAGGTTAATATGATGATTTTAGGTAGCTAAGGATACCAAAACTGCATAGCAACCACATATTTTATTGACCTATATAAACTGGAAAAAAGTAATCACTTTATCAAATTTCTTCCATACTACCACATTGAGTAATTTTTATACTACAAGTGTAGTGGTACTATATATTTTTTATTTGGCTGATAGTAAAAAAAAATTTCTAAATATTTTTAAGAGAAAAACTAATCAGTTGCTATAAAAAAAAGTCCCAGTACAAAGATTGTTGCCATAATCTTCAAAATGGATTGGTCCAAAAAAAAACTATATTCAGGACGGGTAACATTTATGCATGACGAGAAAAATTAACCTTCGTTCAGGGTGGGGATAGATAAATTATATTGCTAGTAAATCAAAACTATGTTTTATTAAACTATAACGTAACACCTAATACAATTGATCCAGTTTATATAGGTCAATAATGAAAACAACACTATATACAGTGTTGTTACAATAAAGTTGTTAAATTCATTAATAAACAAGTTTAACAACTTCTTTGTTAAAATATTATCTAAACTTGAGCTTCAATATCTTTGTGTAAATAATTTTTTTGAAAAATATTTAGGTCATGACAAAAACGAGTTAATTAATAAAAAACTAATCAGCTTAGAGGTTGATAAGACTTTTCAAAGTTCCTTAAAAGAAACGCAACCGAAGTCGACAATGTCAATACCAACATGACAATGAGCTTAAAATTACTTTATTTATAGTACTTAAAAAGGTTATTTTTCCTGAG